TATTAATTTAAATTTATTAAATTTAATATGTTGTATACCACTAGAATAAAATTTCTAAAACAAAAAAAAAAAGTTTTCACTTACCATGCTGAATCTTGCACAAATCCAAGACCACCACTAAAAAAAAAGGAAAAGGAACATTAGTAAAGTTTCTAAAACAAAAATAAATAAAAATAAAAATAAATCACTAACTATTTAAACGAAAGCTAAACCCTCCACCTTGTCAAAATCCAAGACCACCACTAAGGAAAAAAAAAGAAAAGGAGTATTAACAAAGTTCCTTAAACAAAAAAAATAAAATAAAATAAAAATAAATCACTTACCATTAAACAAAAGTCGAACCCTTCACCTTGTCAAAATCCAAGACCACTGCTAAAGAAAAAAATAAGGAACATTAATAAAGTTCCTAAAACAAAAAAAAAATAAAAAACAAGTTTACTCACTATTTAAACAAAAGCCGAACCCCTTCCACCTTGTCAAAAACCAAAACTGCTAAAAAAAAAAGAAAAGGAACATTAATAAGTTCCTAAAAAAAAAAATAAAATAAAATAAAAAAAATCACTCACTATTAAACGAAAGCCGAATCCTCCACTTTCTCAAAATCCATTTTAATGAAAGTATTAATCGACAAATTCAGCAACAATTTTTCTGGCTGTTTCTCCCTTTCTATTGCAAAGAATATTGCTTGTATTCTTTATTTTGACAATGATCGATATTCGCAATTTATAAGTCGATCGCGCATTTTATTTTTAGTATCACCTCACCTCCTTTGTTTATTTTACAAAAACCGATTTATTTCTATTGCAAAGGGCCCATATATTCTGCAAAGTAATAATAAAGTAGGTTGGTTTATTGTTCAGGTTAGCTTCTTGAAACATGTCATCATGGTGCTAATTGATTTTTTCAACTCTACAGATGTCAATGAAAATTTTGGTCATGTTGCTTTGTTTATTATATATCAGCATTTTGATATTCGCTGAGAAATCTTTATCAATCATCATGCGTACAATAGACGCGGTATTACAAAAATAAATTCTAGTGATGAGATATTATCTTATCTAATCAATTCCATGTGTTTTTTCATATGTAAGATTGAAATTTTTTCTTTGCAAAAAAACGTTTCCTTGAAAAAAAATCGTATCATAAATAAAAAATAAGTCTAGAATCCCGTTCTATGTAGAAATGATTAGGTATTTTGATCAAAATGAAACTGAGTTGTGGTCTCTAGATGGTCTGACCGAGTGGTGTTTCATACGACAAAAAAAGAATTTTAGATAGTATAAAGAAAAGAATTCAGGATGTATATGATAAACCTGTTTCAGAATATACTAAGCTGAAGGCCGATGATATGTTCAAGAAACTGGAGGGAAGTATTAATCTTCTTTTGGTGTTAAACTATTGGCACATTTCAGGACTGTTGGTCGTCTAGGTGTTGAACTGTTGGTTCGCTACAGATCTCATATGTAAACAATGCTCTCTCATATGTAAAGGAATAGTTCTAAATTTTGATTTACTGTTAAATTATGTAGTCTTGGAAATTGGCCAAAAACAAGAGATATTTTTTCAAGTCTTTAGAGAATCTGAAGGAAATAAGAAATGATGAAATCCTTCAACTGGCACAAATCAAAAGTGAAGAAACTGTACGACTGGCTGAGATCAAGGTACCATTTTTTTTACTCATTATTTATGATTTGAAATTTATTAACCCTTATTTCTGATGCAGTCAAAAAACTTGTTAGAACATACCATCATAGTAGTGAAATTCTATAAGAACATCGCTGAAGATCTCACCACTATTGATCGTAAAAAGAAAGAGAGTCTATTAGATGAAGATGTGGAACAAAAAGAATATGGTGCGAAGACGACATCAGCTGAGGTCTGATATCTTTCATTTATCACTAACTTTATAGTTGTAATTAATATATATTATTTTATACAGAACTTCAAGAAACGTTTATTAGATTTTGATTATGACTCTGATAGCTCTATCAACAAAGCCGAAGATTCAAAGAATGAGACTCTTAATCTTAGCAAATTTACTTTTGATGGGTGGGTTGATAAATATGATAAGAAAAGATAGACTTTAAGCAATGACGAAAAAGTCAAGGATTTTTTACTAAAAATAATACGTAAAGAAATTAAAAAAGTAAACCAATTGGAAAAAGTAGATGGAAAGATTCTGAGCATCATAAAGTATATCTTGTTCGTTATAATTATTTTTGATATTTATACTTTAACCATTTATATACGTTGTTAAGCCTAAACACTACGTCATTAGAATAACAAAGCTTATTTGCTAACAGGGAGTTTAAGTTGTAAACTATGAAAGAAATAAACACGAATTTATTTAAGTTGA